ATATCCTAATTTTCCTAACCAGTAAAATACGGGTTTATACTAAAGCGACAATTTCTATACTAATTTATTCCACACAAATCATTTCTTAACTTTAATATTATTTGGTAAAATAAAATAATTTAAAAATCTAACATGCGCATCTTTTCCGTATACGGATCTTATAAGAGTATCTTATATAAGTGGATCTTATGAGATTTAAAAAATAGTTTGTTTTTCTCATAAAAAGAGAGACTCTATTCCACATTAACTTTGTCTATATTTCTCCTAATATTTTTTTAGTGAAGAATAGATTACGAGCAAAAATGAAAGCTTATATCTATGCGCATCTTTTCCTTATACTTAGAGCTTATTACCACGTATATTTTTTTGGAATGAAAAATTCTGAATTTACTACTAAAAAAATTTAGAAAAAAAACCGTCTCTTTACGGTGTTAGATGCCTAGATTTACCTAATTAAATATGTTATGTACTATTTTCATAGTTATCTAAGTTCCGTCATTTAGCACTTGGTTTTGAATGTTTAGCGGAGGCTAAAAAGGCTGTTTAGCGGTATTCACCTCTTTATGTCGGCACGCTAAACGCTCGACCATATTGCAGCTTACTTTACTTAAGTTTTAAATTATTTAAAAAGCAAAAGACTGTATATAACAAAGATAAATGCTACAGATCAAAATTAAAAAGATGTTGTCGTAATGCAAGTAAAACTGTAAAACATGATATTACATATTTATCATTACCAAACTTGATCTTACATACATAATAAAAATACACTAAATATACAGTTTCGTTCAAAGATACACCTTCGTTTAAAAATGCTGCCAAGAGGTCTGTATCAAACAGGCCCGAAAGGTCACTACTACTATTAACTTTAGTATTATTAAATAGATAAAAAGAATATTCATATTTTCAATTTTGATTACTCATTTCTAAAATAAAATAGAAATCTTTATTCTTTTGTCAAAAACAATAGTTATGTTAATTCTGAATTAAGATTAAACCTTTAAAAAGAACACAATAAATAAACTTTTAATAGAAAGAAATGAAACTTACTTATTACTTGATAAGCGATATAAGAAAACGATTTGGGCATATTTTCAGTCGTTTTAGAGTACAGTTGGCGCTCATGCCATAATCCAAGAATCAGATAATTTAAAATTCTTTTTATAAAGCTGCTTTTATTACCGGATTTGGTAGATTTAATTAGATGAACCGCAAAGACATTATTTTAGTCGTTTGAGAGTTGGCGCACATATCGTAATACAAAAATTCAATCTTAAAGTTAAGCTGTTTTTATTATAGGGTTTGGCGAATATAAGAAGATGACATAATAATAACGAATCTAAAATTGAAGTTTTATATTTTTCACTTGGATGTCAATATGTTTTGTGTTTTTTCAATTTTGTCAATTTTTTTAAATATAATATATTTTAAATTTAATATTAGGCACTTCAACATTTTTTTTTAAAAATGTAAAATGAAAACAAAACAAACTCCGTAAGTTAGAGCTAAACATGATCAGTTAAAAAATAAAAAACTTATTGTTATATTATTATTAGTTGAAAACTTATTGAACCACAAAATTTAAGATTTTTTTTGTATGACTTTTGAGGTTTTTAGCGACTTAACGTTTTTAAGAATCGCGACAACGTTTCCAAAGTAATAATAAACAAGACCGTTACTATTCAAAACTAAGAATATAATACCAATAAAAACTATAGTAAATGGACTTTTAATGAATAGGAAACAACCCACATTTGACATAATAAATCTGTGACAGTACTTTTTTAAAAAAAATTTATTTAATGGTAATGCAAAATAGGTTTTCCAAAATAATAAACTGGTTTTAAAAACTTAATTTCCGTCTTGAAAATTGATGAGTTGAGTCTTGAAAATTGACCAGTGCTAAAAAAAATTTTTTTAAAGTTTACTTTTTGATGGGAGGCATATTTTTTGTGTGATCTACGCTTGCATTTAAAAACATGCACATTATTAGCTTAATATAATGCTATAGTTGATTTTTTTATTAATTCAAAAAAACACTAAATGCCTTCAAAAATATTTGGGTTATAAAATGACTTTAGTTTTTGATTCAAATTATCTCTAAAAACGAAACCTTAATAAAATATTTTTGGTACTGTTGATAAGATGTGGTTCTACTTTTTGGAATAAACAAATAAAAAGTTTTTGTATTTTAAGTCATCAGATGCACGATTAAAGAACATACAACTCAAACTTTTTTGTCGGCATAAAACCTCAGATCTTTTTTCTTTAGCCGTGTTTTATCGATTATCGATATTACACGCTCAGATGTTGAAGTGCCTATTAATATATTTTAAATAAAACAAACCTACTTATCACTTAACCTACTTAAACATCAAAACAAAACTGCTTGAGCCAAAAAGACTTGCAATTATTAGAAAAGTTTACTTATGTTCCATACGATCCTGAATTAAACGTTTTATAAGTGGATTTCATAATTTTATAAACAATATATATAAACAAATAACATATTTTTTTATATAAATTGTTTATATAGGGATGGTTAGCCGCCAAACCTGCCTATTCAACAAAGTTTAATATAAGTTAGCTTTATTATTTTTTATTGTTGTGGCAGGATAGTTCAGATGGTTAGAGTGTCAAAAGAAAAGTTAAAACCCAGACTGTTAAACGACAAGAGTTCAAATATTGCCTACTCAGCGCTTGAGTAGTACCTCGGTACGCAAAAATGTTGGTCAATAACGGACGCTACTTTGGATTAGTCTTAATGACTATTTATGGCTGTTCCTATGCTAAGCCAACAATATCTTTGGATATAAGAACATTGTATAGAAAAATATAGCATGAAAACTCAAATAAAAAAAAAATAAAAAAAATATTAAAAAATAATTTATATAAAGTTTCTTCGTTTATATAATGTTTCTTTGCCAACACCAATACTTAAAATTTTTAAGCACTGAACTGCAATTACTTTTAATTCTTTTAGTTTAGTGGCTTTTGTTAAGAACTTTTAAATTTTGCGTCCAATTACCTCATTTCAACATATTCGTTGTATCAAAACACCTTAAGGTAAAAAATATCATTTTTGAATTTTTTTTTCAAAATTAGCTTTGTTTTTTTGGTTTTGTCTACAAACGTTATTAAATACATATTTTCAAAAAGTTATGAAAAAATTCATTAAAATTATATTTTTTAAAAAAACGTTTTACAAAGAGTTTATATATACATTGTTTGCACTTAACCATTTAATAATTTTCTTTTTAATTGTTTTTCTCTAAATACGTAATAAGCATATTAAGGCGTTTTGAAAAACAGCTGCATATTTATTGTAAAGAAATAAATGTAGCAAAAAAACCTATTTATTGTCAAAATAAATTTTCAATTTATTTTGACTGCAAAATAAATTTTCAATTTTTTTTGCAGCACTTTTTGGAGTAGCAGAACTGTTTGAAAAAGTTTTTTTTTTTTTTTTAATTAAGTTTTAGAAAACTTTTTTTTTCAGACCATCCGCAGCTGATTAGGACTAATTACCTAAGCACGTTATTAACATAAGTATCTAAATCATGACACATATGTAACAATTTTTTTCTCCTGGTGTTTTGATGTTTTTAAAAATATTATCTTTTTTAAAATCTTTTCGTTCGTTTAAGTGTATAATATCGTTACATATGTTTTTATAACACTCTATAAAACTTCAAAAAGATAAGATTTTTTAAGATAATCGAAAAAATTTAAAACAAAAAGTTTTCAATGGTAAGACTTGAACCAGGGCTTACTTGTTCAGTAATAAAGCGCGGCCACGCTGGCACGTTATCAAACGAAATTTTCTAAAACTATGTAATGACGTTTTTCACGGAAAGATATGTTGTACATCAAAGTTAAGGAGAACTTGACGCAAGGCAATTTTTAAGTGAAAATCAAACTGTAAAACT